CCATGCAGGCTTTGGCACTGAGAAATCCACTTCTTCGTAATTAACATCAGCATCTTGCCAGTTGTCTGCTCATTTGTGAGTGCCTGGCAATCCAGTGGGAAAGCTCGGAAAGAGCGGTGGTGAGTCCCCGGTGTCGGAGATGAAGGAGTAACTGCCAATGCCATCTTCACTGTCAGAGGCGGACATCACGGCCTCATGACGACGTTTGGAGCCGTCTGTCATTGCACCATCTGACATCTTATTCGAATTCGGTTCAACCACATCAGGTGGTTCTTCCGAAATGCGTGCACACTTTGTAGAATGGCTTGTGGCCTTGGGAAACTGTGATTCCTTTCCCTTTCCTTCTTTTCCTTTCTCACCCTTTGCACCTTTCTCGAATTCTTTGCCCTTGCCTTTGTCGCTTTGACCACCTTTGCCGAATTCTCCTTTTCCACCCTTCTCACCATCTTTGCCCTTTCAACCTTTCTCAAATTCCTTGCCTTTGCCCTTCTGTTCATTGTATGACTGTTCACTTCCAAGAGCTGCGGCAGGGAGTACTGGTGGATCGGCTTTGGCAGGAGGCGGAATAGGCACCTGTGCATTGAATTTTGGGAAACCAGCTGAACCTCCTTCATCCGGAGCGCAGTATTGCTGTGCAATGGCCGCAATGGCAGCAGCAGCAGCCTTAGCCTCTGCAAGGTCCGCATTCTTTTGCACAACATTCCCATAAATTTGAATCACAGGCTTATCCTTCGGCTTGTCATCTTTCTCCACATCTTCAAACCAGGGGTCGTCATTGGGATCATAGGGGCGGTCTTGCCACTTCTTGTGGTATTCACGTGCATCACGAATCCCAGAGCTTGCCCCTTGCTGCAAATTCTTCGGTGGAGTTGTCGGTGGTACCTTCCACGCAGGATCATCTGGCCACAAAGCACCCGGAGGAGCTTTACCAGCATTTGAATTCATAGATGAATTCTTATCTGCTTGGTGACCATCGTCACACTCTTGCCATTCATCATCAGGTGGGTATGGTCTGTTCATGGGAGCATTTTTGACCTCTTTCTTGTGCACGGTCAAGAGTTCGTTCATCTTCCCACCTTCCTCAGCTTTGCGCATGAGTGCACGAAGTTGGTCCCATTCTCCCTGCGTCATATCTGTCCCAAGCACTGGATCGTTGGGATCATATGGCAGCTGCTGCGAATTCATCGAATTCGACCCAGAGTGCCCGTAAGGGCCTGCATCAGCTGGCGGCCAGTGCTGTTGTCCGTACTTTCGAGCCATTGCGTCAGTCGATCTAATTCCTAATTGAAAGCTGTTTCAACACACACACGCACCCAGAGTCGAGTACCGCAGTTTAGCCGTTTTGAGGGTCCTAAACTCCGCAAATGTTGAATTGGGCGTGTGAGTTGTGTCATGTACCTGACATCCTTAGTAGCATGCAGGGCGTTGCATCTCGACTGACGTGCCTTTCATCCAAAACATCGCAAAAACATCAAAAACTGTAGTCCAACCCTGTCCAAGTGTGTCCACAGACATGCAAAACTCAAAACAAACTCAACTGACATGCACAAGTTGACATCAAGTGAACTGTGCTTCACATCACTGCAGTGTTTCATCAAAAAGTGCTTCGCGTTCGCCAGTGTTTCGCGAAAACAAAAATCTGTGTTCCACATGACTGCAGTGCTTTACATGACTGTGTCTGACATCAACTGTGGGTTCCGTTTCGTTTGGTTTGTATTTGGTTTCAAATATGACATGCAAAAACAAAACTCTGGTTTCTCCATGCCAAAAAAAAAGAAATAAGGTCGCACATCCCCCTTTCAAATTGAACTGGCGGCGTCCGGAGACGTGCAAAAAAAACAGTTCCACCTGCCACGCAAATTTCCTACGGAAACTCATGCACTTGCAGGTCAAAAAAAACTTCTCCTCTTGGTTGTCTCATGCTCTGTGCAGACGGCACACATTCAGGGATTCTTCCTACCCGCACGTACTGCGGCCAAAATGGCCTTGGCAAGTTCTCTGTTGTACGTACCTGTCTGGGTCCAATTCACATCATACATCCCAGCGTGCTTGTCGCACTCGCACCAACCAAATTTCTTCGTGAGCAAGTTGCAGAAACCGGCTGAAGCACTACAGAAAATCAAAACCTTTCCTACTGGTAAACCGTTTGAAGCTTGCATACCAGTCTGGCATAAAAACACTTCAGCATCAAATTGCAAACCGCACTGTTTCAACACACGTTTCGTTTCGTCTCGTTTCCAAATGTTGTTGTTTCGTGGCAACTCAAATGACCGTGAATTCCCCAGCAACAAATACTTAGAAACGTTGTCCATGATACCTCTCCATGACCTGTCAGCCTCAGATTCAATTTGTGCTGAACAAATTTTGAGGGGCGATCCTGAACTGCACGGTGTGGAAGCATGCACATGCACCCATCTATACCCTAGCTGTTGTTGTACCTCAACGAATTCTTTCACTTTCTGAAACATATCAGCAGTTTCCATTCGTTTGACGATACCGATGTAGGGCATTCTGGCTACCTTGCAGGCTTCCCTAAGTGCTGAATTCGTCCCGCAACAAACTTCAACAAAGGCGATGTCTTGTTTCTGGTCCACACGGCTGTTAAACAGCATGACATCCCTAATTCTTTGCAGGTCTTTTGCAGGTACTTCTGGCACTTCGAATCCTAAGCTCGTTCGATGCCTGAGAAAATCCTTGGTCCCCAAACACTTGGTAAAAAGATCTGCCACATTGTCAGTTCCAGCTCGGTGTTCAACCAGCAGTTCGTTGGAACTAATTTTAGCTTTCATCCAGGCCATTCTAATCTCAACATGCCGACTTCTCTTGGGAATGTCCTGTCCTACTAACAGCTGCAACGCTGAAGAGCTGTCAGATTCCAGCAGAATTTGAGGAACATCTCTTTCTCTCATCTCTCCAATTCCGATATACACACGGTGACAGAAATTACTGAATGCAACCGATTCTTGGGCAACCATCTGCAATGCATACAATTCTGCTTCACATGATGACAAGGAAACTGACTGTTGTTGACGAGCCAATGACCTAACCAATGCACCTTCACAAAACACAACTCCACCTGAGATACCTTTCCTACCATTGAATCTGTATGGAGCGAAGGATGCATCAGAGAATGAATGCAGGATTGAATGTCTTGCAGGGCCAATCATTAAATTCTCATATTCAGGAGAGGGTAATCTCGAACAAGTTCCTACATCCTCAAACAGAAATCTAAGCAATGCACGAATTGCAGATTCCGTGCCTTGATTCGGTTTGGCTTGCTGACTTCCAATGAGACTTAGGTAGAGCTTGAGATCGTGTCTTGATTGAGCCATCCACAATAGTTTGCCCAAAGCACGTCGGAAACGTGAGTATGCAGAGGGAGATAGTTCTTGCATCAAATTCTTGTCGCCCATAGCCTTGTCCAAGATCCCAGCAACATCCGGCACTGAAGCCAAACCTTTTGTGATGTTGAATTCTGTGAACGTCGTGTCCAGGAACTTCGGATCCACACCAATGGTCAAGGAGTCATCTTCAAGTCCTCGATGCACATGCCTGCCAATGAAAATTAGGTGTCCACCACCATGGCGTGCAGGAAGGATAATTCCTGTCTCCTTCAGAGGCACGGCTTTGCCAATCGCCTTCTCCACAATCTTCTCAGCTTTCTCAGATTGGCAACATAGCAGCAGATCATCCACATAGGCAACAAGCAAGGCAGTTTCACCATTGACAACACCTTGATAAATGCATGGTTCCACTTCATCCGAATTATTTCCTATGCCAACCAACCACCATAAACAACCAGGGAGGCAAAGCCCACAGACCCACTGGAATCTAATCTGACATGCTCTGACATATATTCTGACCGCACGTCGCCCAAAAATAAAAACGTCGTATCACAAAACACAACCGAGTCTGCACGTGGATCAGTTCAGAAAAAATTAAAAAAACATGTCACCGTTCTCATGTGGCTTTGCTTGAAAATCACTCGGTCTGCACATCTTTTTTCCAAGCATTGGAGTGGTCTCACATGTCGTCCTGCCAGGCCAACAGGTCGAGTCGGATGCTGCACCCGCACTCACGGCTGTGGGTAAGGCAGGAAAGAAATCACCGTAGGAAGGTGAAAAGAATTCTGTTTTCCAGTGTGATCATTGCTTGATTGCACCGAGCAATGAAACGTCTCAATTCCAGATTGGTGGCATGTAAATGGCCAAGAAGGAATTGACCTTCAAATCCCAAGTCTTCCAAGTCGTCCATCGCCTCTTCCAATTGGTATTGCAACTGGATGGCTGTAAGTTTGACTCGGTAGAAAAACAATAATTGTTGAATCAAGATTCTCACATGGTCAGTGGCAGCGCGGCGAGCTGCTCGTAACATGGAAAGGTTCAGTCCCCTCAAAAGAGGGCGTTGGTGGGAGGGACAAACTTTTGAGGGGTTAGCAAAGTAAGTCACCCACCACCCACCACTTGAACCAAGACATTGCATGGAAAACAGAATTTAAAATGGTTGTATCTGAAACGTGTTGTTTCCAAGTGGATCAAGACATGTTTCCAGGTTAAACAAAACCACAAAAACAAAAAGATTAAAAACCAGAGTCCCAAGGTGTTTGGTGTTGGTTTAATTTGCCTTTACAAAAACCAAGGCAAATTTTGGCAGTCGCAAATAAGGTTATTATCCTTTCAAGAGTAACAACTTATTTCCTATGCCAACCAACCACCATAAACAACCAGGGAGGCAAAGCCCACAGACCCACTGGAATCTAATCTGACATGCTCTGACATATATTCTGACCGCACGTCGCCCAAAAATAAAAACGTCGTATCACAAAACACAACCGAGTCTGCACGTGGATCAGTTCAGAAAAAATTAAAAAAACATGTCACCGTTCTCATGTGGCTTTGCTTGAAAATCACTCGGTCCGCACATCTTTTTTCCAAGCATTGGGGTGGTCTCACATGTCGTCCTGCCAGGCCAACAGGTCGAGTCGGATGCTGCACCCGCACTCACCCCCGTCCAAGCATGTGCAGCGTTTTCTCGTACGACATGATTACCACGTCCCAAGCTACCGAATCTCGAACGACTCCACGTTGTATGAGGTCTTCAACCTGCATTCTATTTGGAGCATCCGACGGATTCGAGTGAGACCCTACTCTCCCAAACCATATTTTCCATTGAGAGGAGTCCTCGAGGTGGACGAACATTTGTACCATCACATTACCAAGTTCAGTGGAGGAGTACGCCTTTATCAGAGCAAGCCGGCTTGCTTCATTGTCAATATATGATACCACATAACGCGACGGGTGAAGGCCACCCCACAGGAAAACAGCCAAATAGGCCGCTAGTAGTTCGATCAGATAGATCGGATTCACAGCCTCTTTCATCAAGGATTTCATCAGGATATCGGGAATCACTTCGGCAAAAAATCTGAGCGGGTTCCCTTGTTCATCAAAAAGAATTCCGCCGACTGACCCCGACTCCTGAGTGCTTTCAAAGGCGCCATCTGTAAAAATAAGCAAGGCATTTTCTGTCTCGGCTGTTAGTTCAAGAGGTAGTCCATTGCTCACCCTCTCTTTCAGAAAAGTCAGAGCTGCTTTGAGCTCTGCGTCAAGCTTGGCGTCCCGAGATGCCATCTTGGACAAGGCACGCTTGCCTATTCGATGCACTGCGAGGTTTGCTATTCTTCCGAATAAATAAGATTCGTACCACTGTACTCGGCCTTTCAGGCTTTCTGCTTCCTTTGGTGTCAAAGACCCCTTTGTCAGGATCTCTTCCAAGCGCTCAGACAGTTCCTGCTTCCTCTCAGGCGTGTGCTTGATAAAGACCTTTCCTTTACCAAACTGGCTCAGGTCAAAGACTAACCCCAAAGCCCGCATCTCCTCAGAAAACTGTTGACACTTCTTTCCTGACTGGGCGTATTGTATGCCCAATAAATCAAATAACAATCCAACACATCGCTCAGTATTGTCGGACAAAATTTTTCCTGACAATGTTGGAAAGTCATCGAAGAAGGCACTGCACCAAATCTTCAGCCCAACGGACAAGACGAAGAATAGGGCTGAGCTCACCCGCAAGAAGCCTGCAACACTTCCTGTAGCACCAAAAGGAAGGGCGTTAAGCCCGAACAGTCTCGGTTCCTTGGTCAAGGGGTCCAGGATGGCGATTCTCAAATGGTCACGGTCAGCCTGGTGTATGGGATAATTGTTTGTATGCCGACTTCAGGTCAAATGTTTTTCCACAAATCTCCAAGCCTGGTCCAAGTTTTCCATAAACCAATGCCCTTATCAAAGTTGCAGCAATGAACGCCATGCAAAACGAACTTCTCCGGCAAACCGCAAGAGTCATTCAATCCACACTGCTTGAAATTGTCAATGACTCTCACTTTATCGCCCTGACGGATCCCAAAGCGGTGAGCAATGATCTTTTCTTTGAAGATCCCGCTTTCGTCAGGCCAAATCCATCCTCTCTCCTCTTCAAGTCTGGTTTCTTCCCAAGCCGCTGCATGAAGTTCAGTGTCCTCCGGTTCCACAACCCTTCTGAGCGCTGCTTTCTGGAGCCCTGCCGATGACTTTAGCAGGGCTGCAAGGCTGATCCTCGGAGGTCGAGGGAGACTGGTAAAAACCTTTGAATCACGCATCCACCCTGCCAACTTGAACCCGCTGACTATGTCCTCAAAGAGTTTCTTATCCGGGTAGTCGAGGTCCTCCAAGATTTCACGAAGCAAAAGGAGTCTCTTGCCCTGCAAAACTTGCTTGACATGATTGCTCAAACCGTCATGCAGTTTTCTTTCATCTTCAGACAGGTCCTGCGCGCGCTTGAGCCACTTATTGAAAAACTCTGTGCGCAAGTTGAGCAAACTTTCAGTATTCAGACTCAGGTTTGCTGAGACCAGTTCATTCATTTGTTGGGTACCAGAGTAGGGCAAAAACCTTGGGTGACCTACCATGGCCGCTTGTTGCACAAAGTCCCAGGGTTCACGCGGAATTCCAATTGTGATGACTTCCACCGTAGTTGCCTCAGCAAGGTCCTTTGTATCACCAAAAAATTCCATTGATACCTTTTCCAAAGAGGAAACACGCAATTCACCCCAAGTCAGAAGTTTCCGATGGGTGATTCTGGCACCTTTCAGTTGTTTACTTACTATCTGATCAGCATTGAAGTGAGGAAGCACTGCAAAACGCAGGTAGTCTGAGAATTCACTGACCAATGGACGCAATTTTTGTCCTCTGGGAAGGATGCCCATTGCCACTGAGTTGACTGCTGTATTGCGGTTGACTTTAATTTGGTCGGTGAAAGTATCTGGGCGCACTAACCCAAGTCTTTCGAGCTCCTCAACTACCAGCGCTGTCACCCTTTTGCAGAGTAAAGGTGGGTACTCAGCTTCCTCTTTTGTGGGGTAATAAACCCCATCTGCGGTTATTGAAGGTGACCACGGCTTGTGGGTGTGGTCTTTTGTGCACGCCAAATTGAAAGAATTGAAAAATTTATCATTGCACCACCAAGCTGTCTGCTTGTCTCTTTCTCCTCCCATCATGCAGCTGTGAAAGTTGTTCATGTGTCCAGGGCATACCTCAAATAAATCTATCATTGGGTCCGTCAGCCAAAAAAGGCTGTTTGTTGGGTTTTCAATCGAAACCCTAATGTTCAGTGAGAGCGCCAGTTTCACCAGTTTGTTTGTAGCCCAGTACAACTGATTTGCCAGGCGGACCTTCATGGCGTCGAGGCCTCTCAAATTTGGCAGGCCCATTGGGAAAGCTTCAGACCGCAAAATCTGCGGTGGTGTAATACCATCACTTGCCAATCGATCCAAGACTGCTGGGGCCAATCGTCTCTTTCGAGCTGCTGAGCAGGTTCCACAAGGTGGTGCGAAGTGAATTAAACAAATATTATTTGCCTCTTGCCTGATAAATTCTGACAAAAATGCCACGTCCTCCTCCACTGTCAAATCCAAGACCGTAATGGGGCCTTTGGCCCTTCCAACTGTCTTGTCAATGGCCACACCTCTGAGATTAGCTTTCCTGATCTCAATGGTGAGGTTTGAAGAGCCTGCGAAAACTTCCAGCACCAACATGTTTTCAAACAGTTGTTTGCGTGTTGTCTCGCTTGCCAATGAAACATCTGAAGTGAAACTGTTTTGAAGCCCGTCCAGGTGTTGTTCACCTGCATCGCTGCTTTCTACTGCATTTTGCTCTGTAGCTTTTGCTCCATCAACTTCTGTAGCCGTTAGTCAGTGATCTCCTTTCTTTCCTTGAGCAGTCTTGCAATTCTGAAACGAATGGCCCACTCTCCTACAAAAGGCGCACATGTGAACTCCCTTCACGCATCGTGGCGGTTGCCCTGTGACGCTCAGATCACAACCATTGCTCAAATTGTATGACCAGCAAATGGGTTTACCGTCTGATGTTGATTGATAACAAGACTTGAGCTCCTCTGGTGGCGTAGGGGTTATCCTGTTTCGTTTCCCCGGACGCGCTTTCTTTTTGGGTCTGACTCCAGTGTTGCTTTGCGCATCACCCGACGTTTGCTCCTTCACGGTAGTTGTTGAAGACGCCGCAGGTGCTTTGTTCGGCATTGACAACATGTGCATTGTGACCCTTGGATCACACATGAGTTTTTCAACTGCAGCATCCAAAGGCCTGTTTCCATTCGAGTCAGGTTTCACCGCCTCAACATCTCTTGCAAGGATTGTCCACAAAGCTTTATCGGCTGCAATCAACTGTGCCAATGTAACTCTGCTGAAATTTGCTGGAGGGTCAGATGCGTATACTGCAAACATAGTTGACAACCATTTCTGAGATGTTTGCCATGATAGTAATTCACACATTTCCAATGCAACGCTCCATCTTTGCCAACACCACTGCAGTTTAATCTCAGAGCTGTGATCTGCATCTCCTATCTGTGCGCCTTCTGTACTGACCTTCAAAGTCTGTGATTCGATCTTCAGCACCTGTTGATTGTCCTTAGGAGCAGCCTGAATTTCAAGTTCACGCTTCGTGCAAACTGATGGAGCCAGCCACATGACCGAATTTGTGTCATACATTGCCTGGCATTTGTCAACCAATGCATGGGATGGTTCTGTTTCCCCTTGTATCAGAAAACCTGATACTGAGGCTTTGACCCTCGCATACCTTGCTTGCTTCTCTGCAAACGGCAATTTCTTGATGCCCTCACTTGTCTCGCTAGTGACTGCCGTCTTCAGCTGTGACAGAACCAATGTGGCGGCTTCGAAGTGTAAGCGCCTAAGCAAGCCCGTCTGTCCTGCTGGTGCCCCTCCTCCTAAAACTGAATCTGCCAACGCCTTGAACTCTTCATCGCTTGGTGGCCGGTTTGGTGTGCCACACGCAAATGCAAGCTCTGAAAAGGAGCTGATGTTCTGTGCAGCCAGCAGGTCGAAAAGTGAAATTGCCGTCGTGGACAACTCGCCACACCTCTGTTGAAATGCCGCCTTCGAGTCGATCAGTGACATGGCCTATCTATGCGAAGGAGGGCAAACGGGTTGCAAGCATTCTCAATTTACCTTTGAAATTATAACAAGAAAAACCAAACTGCAACGCCAAACATTTAAGTTTAGTTCGTTCTTCTGTATTCCAAGTTTCATGTTTGATAGGCTCATGTCTTGTAGACGTGATGGCAGCACCACTCACACCTATGAGCCACAACTATTGTCACAAGACATGCTGTCTAGTCGCTCAACCCACTTGACGTTGGATGACCACACGTCAATGGATTGCAATGAAAAACAGGGTCATCAAAAATTAAAATTCCTCTCGATTCATGGACAACCACTCCAAACCTTTGAGTGGATTCACCACCTCAAGTTGTGTGTCGTCTTGCATGAACCCTTGTTTTCCACCCAGCGCTATCGCTGTTGGATCTGCGCTCAGCAACCCCTGTCACGTCCCGTGCCTTTGCACACATGACAAGTCGCTGAACCATGTCTATGTTGAGTCCGGGTCGCTTAACAGCTTCCAGGCTGGCCAAAGGCACATACCAAAAGTATGCCTATGTTTGGCAGAAAAACACATCTTGGTTTGTTTGTTTTGAACAAAGTTGAAACCACCTGTGTGTGAAAACTTCAATGGGCCTTGAGTTCCAAACTCTCCGCCTCGCTTTCAGGAAGATCTTGTTTGGTGTCATCCATCATGACTCCACCATGAACGCTACCAAGCTGTCCATCACCACTGGGCTCTGGCGTTAAAAAAGAAACTTGTCCGAGGTTGTCCAGTCAACGTCCAGTGCAATAGTGCCCATCGACTCAAGTGAAATATGTTCTGAAATTCGGAAAGAACTGGGAACGATTTGCGCAGCCCTAATGGAGTCGTGGATTTGCAATTCCTCTTTGACATTGCCAACGTTACCATTTGTCTGAGGTCCCAGCTGCAAGATGTTTCTGCGGCCGCGGTCAGTTCCACTGTCTCTAAATCAAATGCAGAACTATGCCATGCCAACTAAAACCTTGTCACAACTTGCCAAGATCCAAAATTCCAATGCAACTAATCGGCATCAAGTGAATCAAAGCTCCAGTTGGTTTACCTTGCGACTAAATAAATTGATACTGAGCACCAGCACCTCTAGCTGAAGGTCGTCGTCTTGCTCCAGCAATTCGATCGTTTCGGGAGACTATAAGAACCTGTTCAGACTGCCAATCAGCACTCTTCAAACTGCAACAACTTCCTCGCAAACATTGTAAAGTTCCACTGCTTCCAGCTTTGGTGCACACTACTGTCATAATGTGTCCATGAAGTCACTGTCCACGTTGTAATATGGCATTGGTCATTCAGCCGTCTCCCAGAGCATATTAAAAAATGATCTCACTGTAGTATCAGGCACTGCAACTGTATACAGGTTCGAAAGATAAAATTCGAAAATTGCAGCTCAACACGTTATGACGAACTTGATGACAAATTCAGCAGCTTCCGGCGGTGTAGGCACGACATCCAGCTGTCGGTCAGGATCGTCAGGTCAGTTGTATGCAATACCAAAGTATGTATGAATCTTCCGAAATCCAACCAAACGTCATGCCGTATTATAACACCTGCAGTCCGAAATTACACCAAGTCCATTGCCACACCCCCCAGCACAAACTTTTGAGGGGTTAGCAAAGTAAGTCACCCACCACCCACCACTTGAACCAAGACATTGCATGGAAAACAGAATTTAAAATGGTTGTATCTGAAACGTGTTGTTTCCAAGTGGATCAAGACATGTTTCCAGGTTAAACAAAACCACAAAAACAAAAAGATTAAAAACCAGAGTCCCAAGGTGTTTGGTGTTGGTTTAATTTGCCTTTATAAAAACCAAGGCAAATTTTGGCAGTCGCAAATAAGGTTATTATCCTTTCAGGAGTAACAACGTGAGTCCAACACCACGAATGCTGTCACTCAGCAAATTGAGCCAATGCAGAGACGCATCTCGCAGGCCGTTTAAGGCTTTATAGAGCAACAAGTAAGCTTGTGATCCATCAGGCATAGAGACTGAGAGAGGAAGCTTCAGCACGATCACGAGGCCGTGAGGAAGTGGAGAATGCATGAATGCATGGGAAACGTCAAGACCTTTGAGTCGAAGAGCCCGCTGTGCAGCAAGAGTTAGGACAAAATGCAGTCCCTCAATGCTCGGTGTTGGGCTCGAGATCCCCAGCTTTCGTGCACTAATTCCTTTGTTCAAGTCCTTTGCCACAATCCTAACACGAACCCGTGTCTCACTTTTGTATGCTGAAACCCATCTACTCGGTATGACACGCATGAGTGGGTGTTTCTTCTTCAACGCATCAACTTCAGCCTGTCCTATGACCTTTCCAGCACCACATTTCTCCAAATTCCCAATTTCTTCTTTCATTCCTTCAAAACCAAGATCCACATCTAATTGCATGAGTGAACTATCATCTATCACTTCGTCAGGTTTCCACAAAAGCACTTCAGATCCACCAAGTTTCACCTTCACACATGTATGGTCCTTGCCTTGTGCAAACTTGATCGAATTCAGTTCAGCATCAAACAATTCTGGAGCTGTGGCTCGTGCAATTTCAGGTCCTTGTTCCAAACTCCATGCAACTGGTCCTAAAGCATGACATGCATCATCCATGACAAAAAGATCTAAAGTCATTGGGATCTGAGTCCCAGAGGCGCGCTCTGCGGCCATCTCATCTTCAAGATCTTGCACGGATTGTTCTGCTTCTCTCTTCACGCCTGAACCTTCAGTGTCCATGGATGGACCAACCTGATCTGAACCTGCGCCGACCGGAGCCGGGCTTGTCTCGGTCTCAACCTCCATATCTTCAACCTCAAGTCTCGGTCTTACAACATTAGGCACAACAGCAGGAGTTGCACTGGGAGTTTCACTCGCCTCAAATGCAGCTCGCTTTCTCTTACATTCAGCATTATGCCTAATTCCTGGAACATCCATACCAGAATCACATGCAGGACACCTGGGTGTCTTTGGAAACACACGCACATCATGTCTTACAGCATCTGGTGACGGAGACGGAGACTCTGGGGAAACAGTTGGAGAGGCTTCTGGAAGTGCAGGTCCATCAGCAGTGGATGCACGAATTGGTTCTTGTCGGGCAATCTTCAACTCACCTGGCTTTCTGGGTTGCGATGGAGCGGACTCCACCGGTCTCTTTCGTTGGATTGGAGCTCGATAGCTCGTGTCGGATTCTTTCATCTCTCTGACCAAATCACCTGGCGCACCATCAGGATATTCAACAACATCATCATGCATAGGCTGATTGATCTCAGCATCAGGTAATCTAGGTCTCTCCACATTAGGTGCAGCTGGTTCGACATGCACACCAGGACGTGCAGGAAGAACTTCTTGAGCTTGTCCACCACCTTCAATCTCAGAAAACAGTTGATCACCAATGATCTGGTTCCACACAATTGGAGTAATTGGCTTGACGTTCCTTGCAACAAAGCGCTTCAGAACTAATTCTCCGTCAATTCTGATTGCACCTTGCACTATCGGTCCAGTATCCAAGCCTGAGTGCACGAACGAAGCTTCAATGCTTCGAGTTTCATTGGGTGATTGGGCTCGCATGCTACTGGGCAACTCAGCAAGGACACTTTGTCCGAACATTGCAAAGGAAGGTCGAGACAACTTCCGCTGTGTAGAGTACTCCAATGGTGAAAAATCAGTTCCATGAGCCTTGGAGAAATGGTTGTGGCTCAATGCAATGTACGTCACAACATCATGCAGGCCACGTTCAGTGAAGCAAACATCAGCACCTCCTTGGTTCATCTCGGCACGCAACACTGCAAGAGATTCTTTAAGTCGTCGAACGGCTCGTTCAGCACCTCCATTGCTTTGGTGTTGTTGAGGTCGTGCACGTCTAACAAGGAAAGTGTACTTGTCAGAGCTGGTTCCAACTAATTCTGAAACAGCACGTTCAGCATCCGTACGCAGGACAACGGAAGAGGTCGAAGAAGCAAGGCCGAAATGATCCAGCCACTTGCATATTTGATTCTTCACTGTTCGAGTCTCCTGTCCTACAATGACATACCCAACGCAATTCGTTGAGAGCTCAGTCAGAACTAGCACCTTAATTGTTCCTTCAGCTTCATCGTCAACCATTTCACCTCTGGTGGTCAAAAACCCAAAATCAGCTTGCACTTCCGTTTCAAGAGTACCTTCTCGACGTCGACGATGTTGGAATGTCGACTTGCCTCTTGCACAAATGGTACAACGTGGATCGTAGGGCACATGCCCTTGCATTCGGTGAGTTTCCAATGCAGCTTCCGCTGCACGGCTTAAAGGATTCAAGTTTGCACCGTCGTGCACTGCATTCATACCTTCTGACATCACAAATTCACCCTGTTGTGCAGTGGATTCAGAATCCTGGTACATCCATGCAGGGTCAAGTTTAACCCATGGACATCCCCCAAAGTTACACACACCATCTAACCGCAAACCTGTTGCAGAGTGAGTAACCTCAGTGCCTTGTGAATTCTGGTTGAATTCCCAACCGCAATCACAAAGGGTGTTTGTTGAAATGATGTTATGGCTAATTCCGCCAACAAGGCATTTCAGCTTGGCTTGACGATACACTGGGAATCTTCCCAAATTGTCATTCTTTTTCTTGAACCCTACCCAAACCGAAACAGTGGTAGATCCATCAATGTTCACTTTGCTACCATTTGCCGCTCTGAAGCGGTCATTCTGAGAGTTCACAACCCATGCACCGTAAGTGGCGCGTGATGCAGTGGCCATGACTGTTGCCGCTGCACCGGAGTCCAGCAACCACCAATGCTGGCTTTCGTCTCCCATCATAATTTCAGATAAAAGTGGATGCAACACTGGTGAATACCTATGCAGTTCAAATGAGTGAGAAACTGTGTCTTGCACGTTCAAGAAAGTTGAGATTCCAACCCTTTTTAATTCAACTCGATGACAGTTGGTTGAAACAAGATCCTGAGAACATGCAGCATTACCTTCAACCTCTACACCTCTTAAACCATATTCAAAGGTCACCGGACGATGCTAAGGTTCCTGACGAGTTCCTGACAAGTCACTGGGTCCTGCTGCAAACATGCCACATAACAGGGTGGAATCTTCCTGTGGTGTCGTCTCATGCAACCACCCAAAATCCAAATTCCACAAATGGCACATGTCAGTCTCTGTTTCCGTTTCACTGTCACTGTAGTCAACTTCATCCCCAAGATTTGTGGGCTGGTCTACAACATATGAACATGCAGAATCATTGTCAGAAACAAAAATGATTTCAGGTTCTTCGCAAGACTCGCTGTCAGAAAAAGGAACGAATACTCCTCCATCAAAAAACTCGGGTTCAGAAATAACACATGCTGGTGGTAAACTGGTGAAAAAATAGTGCAGTCTCACGTTTCTCAGCTGACACAATTCATGGTTCGCACCGAAATCATCACTGATGATCATGCAATTTTCACAATTGCAAAAGAGTCTATTTGATTCCAAGCACTGCAAACCCCAAATCGAAACATGAAAAACGGTTTCATCACATGAAAAATGGCTGCAAACTGTTTCAGATTCGTTTGAAATATCTGTTTCAACTGTCAAACCTGTTGCAATACTGGCAAAAACATCGGAAATCAATGGACTCAGCACGAGAGACTGTACTCCCTGAGCAGTCGCACCGGCACTTGCACTTGCCTGTTGGTCATCTGTTGCCGGCCAGCTCCAGGACTCATCCCAGTATTCCTGTCCCTCATTCCATGCACTGTCCCATGATTCATCCCAATTGCCATTCCAAACCTGTGACGTTTCTAACCAAGACTGGT